GGGCTTCTTCCTGATACCTGAGAGTCTGCAGTCCACCTCCTGCCTAAGAGGCCCATGTGAGTCCAGCACAGGACATGAACGACTCTGTCACAGAGGCTCGTTTAGTGTGTCCTTGCCAGTACAGGGAGCACTGTGGTGTCAGGGCCGTGGGACAGCGCTGGACCAGACCTCTCCTCACAGCAGGATCACATGATCAAGCGTGTCACACATGGTCCTGGCCAGTACAGGGAGCACTGCGGTGTCAGGGCTGCAGGACTGTGCAGGACCAGCCCTCTCCTCACAGCAGGGCTGGGCCTCAGGCCCCCATAGAATGAGTACCCAGGGATGCACCCAGTGGCATGAGAAAAGTGGAGGCCCTCTGAGTTCCATGGTGGCGCCAGGCCCTCCTTGCAGTCCACCATGCCCATCCGCACGCGCAGGGGCACCAGAACTACCCCTGCAGCCCTCACTCTAGCATGCCTGAAATACCCATTTTGGAAGAGAAATGTCCGGCATGTTATAGCAAGTTCTGCGCTCAGAAGCCTATCACTGACCCATAGTCCTCTCATTTCTCACTATGTCAGAACACCACCTGAGAGCACATCCTATGGTCTGCAGACTTAAACCCATCCTGCATGGCCTGCTGGCTCTCCGGTGCAGCCTACTGGCTCGGTATCGAGAGCAGGGAGTGAGGACCTTGCAGGAAAAGCCGGTCAATACACAGAGTGGGAGGGGCTCTAAAACAACACATGCATCCAAGGAGGAAAGGCCGGGAGTCTTCCCATCACTCAGGGTCTCTTGCTTCTTGACTTACTCCTTGGTTGGTGGAACTTCCCATGAATCCTTCCTCTGAAGGTAAAATATGAAATGTAACTGTAAATGTTTGACTCAGATTTGATGGAAACATTTGTTTATATATCTAATTAAAATGTACTGTGAAATACTAGGGAACCCAGGGCTTTGTATGGTAAGAAAACCCTGTACCAGGGTTAGGAAGGTGGCTCAGTGGTAGAGCACTTGCCTTGCATGCAAGAGGCCCTGGGTTCGATTCCTTAGCACCACATAATCAGAAAAAAAAGCCAGAAGTGGCATTATGGCTCAAGTGGTAGAGCGCTAGCCTTGAGCTGAAGAGCTGAGGGACAGTGCCCAGGCCCAGAGTTCAGGCCCACAACTGGACCAAAAAAAAAACGAAAACCCTGTACAGTAAGGTTACACCATCTATCCCAGAAATCAGACTCAGACCTTCTTCTATCATGGTTGCTGGTAAGCACTTTCAATGTGAAATTCATTTCTCAATATGGGAGTTTTCAGTAAGTTCCAGGACAGCCTGTAAATTTAGTTAAAAAAGAAAAAGAAAAGGAAGGAAGAGAAGGAGGGAAGGAAAAGAAGAAAAAGGAGAAAACTAATTTCAAGTCCTCCTTTATCTCCTTTCTTCTGTGTTTCTGGGATTTATTTCTCTCTCGCCTTTGGTTCTTTCGTTGTGGATTGGCAGTTGGTACTGGGGTTTAAACAGAACCTCATGTTAGCTACTCAAGCATCCTACCACCTGAACCATCTCCTCAGCCCTTGTTGCTTTAGTCCCTTAAACTTCGCCTGGGCGCTGTCCCTCAGCAATTCAGCTCAAGGTGAGTGGTGAGTGCTCTGCCACTTGAGCCACAGCATCACGTACTTAGGCCTCCTGGTTTCCTCACTGTCATCGCTCACAATGAACAGTCTTCTGGCACTGTAGTGCCATAATGGTTTAAAATCCTGTGCATTCAGAGCCTCAGGAAGCGGCCTGCAAACCCAGTGGGTGAACCAGTTTTCCCAGCATGGCCCTAATGCCTCCAAAACCTGGACTTCCAGAATGTTCAATGGAGTTAAGAGATTTCAGCTTTGTGGCTTCACCTCTGCATCTCAGTATTTACCTTCTAGTCTGATCCAGAGTTATGATTTACCCATCTTTCTGGAGTAGAAAATGTCAGGAATTTTGGTTTGTATTTTTTACTTTTTCCCTCATCTTGGTGGATGGACTTTAAGCAGTTAAGAAAAAACTAGAGCTGGGCCATGGCTCACACCTGTCATCCTAGCGACTCAGGAGGCTTGAGATCTGAGAATCGCAGTTCCAAGTCAGCATGGGCAGGAAAAGCTTTGAGGAGTATCTACAATTAACTGCCAGAAAACCAGAAATGGAGCTGAGGCTCAAAGTGGTACAGCACTCGCCTTGAGTGGGAAAGCTCTCAGGGACCCCGGGCCCTGCATTCAAGCTCAGGACCAACATCAAAAATAAATTTAAATTTTTTTTATTTTTTTGGGTCCGGTCGTGGGGCCTGAACTCTGGGCCTAGGCACTGTCCCTCAGCTCTTCAGCTCAAGGCTAGTGCTCTACCACTTGAGCCACAGTGCCACTTCCGGCTTTTTTCTTTTTGCTTATATGGTGCTGAGTAATCAAACCAAGGGCCTCAGGCATTCAAGGCAAGCATTCTACCACTGAGCCACCTTCCCAGCCCCAAATTAAAATTTTTTTAAAAGAAGAGTTGGGGAGTGGCAGCTTATGCCTATGATCCTAGCTACTCAGGAGACTGAGATCTGAGGACTTCAGTTCAATAATCAACAAGAAACAACTCATTCTGTGTGTGTGCCAGTCCTGGGACCTGAAGTCAGGACCTGAGAGCAGTCTTTGGGATTTCTTGCTGTAAGCTAGCACTCTATCCTGTGAGCCACTACTCTGCTCGCAACTTTTCTGTGGTCACTTGGAACTAAGAGTCTCATGGACTTTCCTGCCTGGGCTGACTTTGAACCCCAGTCCTCAGATCTCAGCCTCCTGAGTAGTTAGGATGACAGGCGTGAGACATAGGCACCCAGGAATGAAAGAACTTTTAAAAAGAAAAATCTTGGACGCCTAATTTGAGCACAATTCCACATTTTTCTTTTCTTTTTTTTTGGTCCAGTCATGGGGCCTGAACTCTGGGCCTTGAGCTCTTCAGCTCAAGGCTAGCGCTCTACCACTTGAGCCACCTTCCCAGCCCTTCCACACGTTTTTCATGACACACCTGCAATTTCCCACACACACAGCAGAGGTCGCCCTGAGCTCTTGGGACAACAGCCTCCAGCCTCACTCCAGCTCAATGTGGTTCCCATCAGTTCCCACTGATGCTTTTAGCTTGCTTCCATTGAAACACTGAACCACCTTGTATATAGGTCATTTAGCACCAGGAAGAAAACAACTATTAGACAAACACCTGACACTAGAACTACTGACTCACAGCGAAAGACATCTGTTTGGATGGATTTTGCAAGAATGGCATTCCATGGGCTGGGAAGGTGGCTCAGTGGTAGAGTGCTTGCCTTGTATGCCTGAGGCCCTGGGTTCGATTCCTCAGCACCACATAAGCAAAAAGAAAAAAGCCAGAAGTGGCGCTGTGGCTCAAGTGGTAGAGCGCTAGCCTTGAGCTGAAGAGCTGAAGGACAGCACCCAGGCCCAGAGTTCAGGCCCCACGACCGGACCCCAAAAAAAAATTAAAAAAAAAAAAAAGAATGGCATTCCAGTTGTGTGTACTAGCACGGAACACAAATACAACTGCATCCAGAAGGTATAGTTAAGTGAAGATGGAACTCAGTGCTGAGGTACTTGACTGCTAGGTGTGAGAGACTGGGGGTCGATGCCAATACACACAGAGAAGATGGGAATGGCAGATGAACTGACCTGTGGTGCATTGTTCTCTGTAAGACCTACCATATTGTAAGAGGGTTCACAGGACGCCTTTCCACACCTTTGTCCTGTGTCAGTAACTAATGGGGCTGTCTGGAAGCTCCAACCTGTGTGTCTGTGGCAGGTCTGTCTGGAGTACTCAGCCTGTCTGTGTGTCTGTGGCAGGTCTGTCCTGATGTCCTGCGATGCATTAAGAGATCTACAGTTTGCATTGATGGCTGACGGTTCTGCCTCCCACTGTAGCACCATCCATTCTCCATAGCCACAGCCTGCAGCTTCCTCCTTGTACAGCCAGCAGGCTTTGTGGGCCTTTGCTGACGCCCCAGGCCTCAGAACTCCCCACAGGCCGCAGTGCTCCTGTGCCCTGCACCCATCCTCCCTGAGGGCCACAGTGGTCCCTGCGCCCAGCACCCGTCCTCCCCACCATGTGGGTGGCCCACCCTCATGGCTCTGCGGGGCACACGGGGCACATGGGCATCCACCAGTCCCCGGTGTCGTCTCACACAGGCCAGACTCCGCCCAGCCCTGCGTCGGCTCCATGGTGCTCCCCCATCTGATTCAACGCAGGGTTTGCATTAGCAGCACCTCCCGTGTGTCCTTGGCATGCATCCCTGACGTCCTGAGCATCCCCGGTGTCCCGGGGCCTCCTGTGCTGGTGTCCGATGTCCAGGACAGGGTCTCCCACAGGCCAGCGCTGGTGCAGCAGCTTCGCAGCCAGAGGGACAAACCATCCATGGAGCACTAAGGAGCACCGAACCCCTCCATGAAGCACTGAGCCCCTCCATGGAACACTGAGCTCCTCCAGGGAGCGCCGGCACCAGCGTGTCACAGGCCTGCACAGCCAAGGAGCTCAGTAAGTATGCCTACCTCAGGGGGTACCCTCGGGGCCTGGCTTCCGGTGAGCACCCACTGTATGGTTACTAAGCCTCGCTCCCTGCCTGGAGCCTCAGGCAGGTGTGCCTGGATCCGCTAGACCCTGGTCCCAGCCCCTGCTGCTCTCCAGTGGACAGCTCCTACACTAAGGCCAGGCAGGCCATGGGCCCCTGGTCAAGAAGCATTCTGTGTGCACTGACCCCGCGGGCCCTGCTCGTCAGCAGGCTCAACCATTGGAGCCACAGTGATGTCTTCACAGAATCCCTGGTGCCGGGAAGCCGGTGGGCAGACCATCAGAGGCAGACAGACCATAAGAGGCAGTGGACAGACCATCAGAGGAGGTGGGCAGACCATCAGAGGCGATGGGACAGTCAAAGGAAGTGGACAGACCATCAGAGGAGGTGGACTGACCATCAGAGGTGGCGGACAGACTGTCAGAGGTGGACAGACCATTAGAGATGGTGGACAAACCGTCAGAGGCGGTGGACAGACCTTCAGAAGAGGTGGACAGTCAGAGGCAGTGGGACCATCAGAGGAGGCGGGCAGACTGTCCAAGGCAGTGGGCAGACCGTCAAGAGGTGGGACCGTGAGAGGCGGTGGGAACAAGAGGAGGTGGACTGAGGAGCTGCCCAGAGGCCCCAGTGAGCTGCCCCCAGAACCACCGAGCCTGCGGCACCACACTCTTCGCAGAGTTGCAGGTGAACAGGCACGAGCCCGCCCTTCACAATGATGGAGCCGGGACAGGAACCTAATGTTAGCACTGGAACTTCCGGGATCTCTCATGGTGGTGACACCACTCCCCAGGCCCGGGAAGCACTAGATACCCCACTAACCCAAGTCCTCCCTCCTCTGAAATCAGCGGTCCACTCTGGGCCTGACCATACCTCGGCCTGCCCCTAAACAATCTGACAACCCAAGCATTCCTGCCACTGGAGGAGAAGCTGGGGAACTGCTCAGGCTTCCCTCCTAGGGTCCGAGAGCTGTCGGTAGTAGTGAGCCCCGGAGCTGGCATACCTGGGTCACCAAGGCAGTGACCCATACCTGGACCATGTGCTGTTGGAGCCGAAAGCCAAGTGCCAGGAGAGAAACCAGACCATCTCACTCACCAAAATTAACACACCGGGAAGTGAGGCCCTGCCTGAGAATCCTCAATACTGTGGCTGAAGTAGGAGAGCACAAGCCGTGAGCACAGAGGCTCAGGGATGGTGCCCAGGCCCTGAGTTCAAGCCCTGGGACCAGCAAAATATAAAAGCTGCAAGGTAGCTGAGTGCTTGCAGCTCCACCTCTCATCCCAGCTATTAAGGAGACAGGACAGCTGTAATGAGCCAGCCCGGAAAGCTCGTGCCACACTGTTCTCCAATTAACCACCAAAAAGCTAGACATGGAGCTGTGGCTTAAGTGGCAGAGCCAGCCTTGAGCAAAACGAGCTGGGGCCCAGAGCGTGGGCCCTGGGTCCACATCGCATGACAGCACTGTAACTAACTGAAGCTGAAGCTGAAGGTTTTATTACACACATGCACACACACCCGGGCCCTGGGTCTACACCACATGACAGTGCTGTAACAGAGCTGAGATTTTATTCCACACGCGTGTGCACACATACACACCCAGGCCCTGGATCCACACCGCATAACTGGTTTTATTCCACACGTGCACAAATGCACACGAGGTTCTCCTGTCCCGCAGTGCACAGAGCCGAGGACCCGTGCATGGGGCTCCAGGGTGGGCAGCACCACGACCCAGTCCCGGGCCTCGGCACCGAGCCAGCGGGGACCACAGCACGGTGTGTGTGTGTGGGGGGGGGGGTTCTCTGGTCCCAAGGCTGCCACTGTCCGTCCAGCCAAAGGGCGGCGACTGAAGCCGGGCGCCCGCGGCTCACCTGTCATCCTAGCTACCCCGAGGCAGAGATCTGAGGATTGCCTTCGAAGCCAGCCCTGGCAGAAAAGGCCAATGATCTCTAATGAACCACCAGAAAACCGGAAGTGGTGCTGTGGCTCAAGTGGGAGAGCGCTTGCCTTGCATGCATGAGGCCCTGGGTTCAATTCCTCAGCACCACAGAAGCAGAAAAAAAAAGCTGGAAGTGGTGCTGTGGCTCAAGTGGTAGAGCGCTAGCCTTGAGCTGAAGAGCTGAGGGACAGCGCCCAGATCAGAGTTCAAACCCCACGACCGACCCCAGGACCCCCCCAAAAAAGACAGTGACTGAGGAAGAATGACGGGGTATCTGAACTCCACTCCTTCCCTGGCGGACGGGAAGTCGCCGGGCGCCGCGCCCCGCCGGCCTCCTGGCCTCATCCCCTGCTGGCCTCCAGGCCTCGACTTTCGCGCGCCCCGCCGGCCTCCGGGCCTCAGCCTCTGCGCTCAAAGCGCTGACCGCTCACTCGGGCTGGCTTCCGGGTGGGTCCCGCCGCAGCGTCCAGCAAGACTCCGAGCTCGCCGCCCCTCCCGCCCCGCCCTCC